ATTCTTGTAAAATGGTTTATTCCGGTATGTGATGTAGAGGACCCCAGCCTTAAGTTTTTTTTTTTTTTTTTTTTTTTTTTTTTTGGGACAACTGCTCCAATCTATTCGCGGGGAACCTCACATGACCCTTAAGGAAAGCTGAATTTTGTTGGGGAGGGGGGGAAATGAAACTGTTGCGTTGCACATTAAAAGTTTTAAAACTGACACATTGCACATTAAACTGAAGCATTCCACGTTAAACATTGCATAGCAAGTCATCCCAAAGGTTCACATTAAGTTTTTTTCTTTTTTTTTTCCCTTCTCTCTCTCTTGCTTGCCTAAACTGTGTAAAAGTACCTGGTTGCTCGGTTCTACTTCCGAAGTAGGAGGATAGCAGAAAATAGGTAAGTGGGGCACGAGGGAGCAGGAATGGTTTATTGGGACTATTGGTCCGGTGCCCGGGGGGTCGCTGTGTTGTGATGTGCACTGTCGTCATTTATTTTCGGGGGCTGGTCCCCATGGGGTCTCTGCCCCGTAAACGAAATCGTAAGCAAAAGTGGGTAATGTTCCCAGCGTGTCTGTTTCTCCGGGTGACTGTGAGGATTCTGGAATCATCAGAGTTTTGTCAATATTTACCATAGTTTTATTGGGGGGAAAAAATAACAAAAACACCATGTAACTCTAAACGTTCCTGCTCAATTAATCCCCTGACTTCAGGGTAATCAATGTTGGCAGGCTATCAATTGAGGTCTTTTTTTTTCAGACTTTTTTCGACCAATTATATTTTACATTGTATAAGGGACGTTGTTCCTGCTCAGTTAATCCTTTGGCTTTAGGGTAATCAATGCTAGCAGGCTATCAGTTGAGGTCTATTTTTTGCAAACTTTTCTTAACCAATTCTGTTTTACATTGTATAAGCGACGTTGTTCCTCCTCAGTTAATCCCCTGGCTTCAGGGTAATCAATGCTAGCGAGGTATCAGTTGAGGTCTTTTTTTTCAGACTTTTTTCATCCAATTCTGTTTTACATTGTATAAGGGACGCTGGACCCGTTTTTCAGCAGGTGATGCTCCCCACCAATAGATGGAGCTGGGTTGTTAAAAAAAAAAAAAAAAAAAAAAAAAAAAAAACTCAAACTTTTTTTTAAGTGCTGGTTTTGGCCGTTCGAAGTTCACTCAAGTAAGTGGGGAGGTGGGGCTGCATCGAGTGCCGAAAAAGTTGTAAGGAACTGAAGAGTTTCACCCCCAAGTTAGGGGGGGGGTGTTGTTTCTCAGATCTTTGCCTCAGGGCCTGGAAGCTGGATCACTTAGATTGAGCTTTTTTTTTTCAGATGATTCAAGGGGGTTGGTCCCCTCCGGGCCAATATCCCCGTAGGCAAAACTGGGTAATACTCCCAACCTTTTCCAACTCCGGGTAGACTGTGAGGACCCCGACCTGAAATTCTGATTGGAAATGTATTATGCTTGTTTAAAAAAATAAAAAAACGTCCACTCAAGTAAATGTACACTGCCGACAAAAAACACGGGCTCAAGCCTGAGCGAAGCACGTGCCCATCGTCATTCAAGTAGTACAGCCGTATGTTGTGTTTGAATAGAACACCCGTGTGTTCGAATAATATATATGTACGTACTATACGAATAGTACACACGTGCGTACTATTTGAACGTGCATACTATTTGAATTTCGGGGGGGAATTTCAAGAAATCGACTTTTCCAAGGAAAGTTTTTTTTTTTTTTTTTTTTTTCTTTTCTAAAAAGGGTTGTAGAGGTGTCGGGGGTTATGACCCAGGGAGGATGTCCGACAGAGGGCTTCCCGCGTCGGGGTCAGCCCCACTGGCAGTGCAGCGGGCCCACCCACTACCCAGTGATCTCTCAAGGAAGGAGCACTCGGTCCTCGCAACCCACCCGGGAGTATCGGCCTAGACCGGCGCTACCAGGCCGTCAGCGGCAGGGGTCACCCCTCCCCTACTAAGGGCTTCACCTCCCTGTGGCTCCACTGTCGGGAGGCTTCCGCACCACAGTCACAGTGGTGTCGCAGGGACGTGCCAGCTCCTGCTAGGGGAGGGGTGACCCCCTCACCCCTCCCGCACGCTCCAACTGAGCCTGCCCCTCCTGGAGCCACTTCCCTCCCATGGCCTCGACAACCCTAAGGGGAGGCACACGCTCTACCGTTGGGGGGACCCAGGAAAGTACGGTTGGGATATCAACATCCAGTGGGCACCCTTGCAGGTGGCTCCCCAGGTCCAGAGCTGCAGAGCCCTGTGTACTTTTGTGCCCCTGGGAGCGCGCACGCTCAGTGTGTGAGTGGTAGTGCGTCAACCTAACGCCGTGCCGGCAGCATATGCACGAGGTTGTGAATTTGAACCTGCAACCCCAGACCACAATGTGCATTTCCAACCGGTGCCCTAACCACTGGGCCATCCGCCAAAGTTGAATAGTACATATGTGAGTTTTGTTCGGGGGAAGACTGTAGCCTCCTTTAAGCCCACCGTTGTGTACATGGTTTCTTATCCCGCAAAAAGTAGCAGTTTGCTGCCGTTTGCTGTCGGACTCGTATCCCATACCTCCAACCTCATTCCTCCCCCCAGCTTAGGGCCTAGCACTTTTCCCAACTTGTCCTCCCTTTTTTACGTGAATAACCAAGTGCCTTTTGCATGTTCCTTTGACTCGTCTAATAAGATTCGCCAGTGGCTTGAGATTGCTACTAACAAATCTGCATAGTTCGTTTCTACGTCTCTTAGTCTGGGTAATTGGGACTTAAGTTCCTGCAAGGAAATCCAATCTGCTAACTCGTCGTCCCAGATGTCTTTCAGTTGAACTCTCCCTTCTCCATCCATTGTCTGCCAAAGTTCCCTTTTTCTGTATTAACATAAAAGCTAGTACTATCTGGTCTGACTATGAACGAGTTTTCAAATATGAACCGATTAAGGATTTTTAATACTGTGGTAGGTTCCCTCATAATGTTAGGTAATAACTGACTCCAAGTTGCCAGAATATTTGACCTGATTCGTGATTTTGACCTTCTATAGGCAAAGGAGAGGACTAGGATACAACGCTATATATCTGCTGGATCCAAAAGAGTCCACTCCTTGCCCAACAGATACATTGTGAATCTCACCCAGATCTTATCGTTCTTTTTAAATAACGCTTGGATAATCCACTTGCATAACAAAACCAAGTTTTGTTGGTTGGGGTCTAGAACACCCAGACCCCCTTCAACATGGTCTTGAGCGATGACATCCCAAGCCACCTTGGACATAAACCCTTGAAGTTCGGAGGTTTTTGGTTTCCACAGGTACCGGGCCACAATTCGTCTGATCTTGGAGCAGGCTTCATCTCCTAGGTAATGGATTGCGGGAACCACAGTAAGGAGAAGGCCTAGGATGTCAACACCAAGGCTTTGCCGAACAACGAAATCTTGTGAGTGTGGATCCAATTCGTAATTCTGGTTGTCACTTTTTTCCACAAACAACGAGTCTTGAGCACCTGCACAATTTGTCAAAGACACTTGGACTCCCAAGAAACGCTGAGAGTTGTCAGCAAGAATCTATCTCAGCCCCCAGTCTACACATAACACATAGGGGGGGGATAAAAAATACACAGATTTATCCCAATTGATTGAAGCTTCAGGGAATTCACAGTATGCGTCTAAAACTACTTTGAGTTCAGTAAGAGATTCTACAAAGTTCTCACAGGCAACAGTTAAGTCATATGCAATGGCACCCCCTTTCCACTGTAGTGTCGAGGAGATTTGTAGACCTTTTATGTTTTCATTGAATCTTATATTGTCCAACAAAATCTTTAATTGCAAAACAAACAATAAGGGTGCCAACGGGCAACCTTGACGAAGGGATCGTGATAACGGGAATTCTTCAGAAAGCTTCCCGTTCACTATCACCGCCGAAGAGGCTTGGGAGTACATGGCCTTGACTATTCTCTTAAACCATCATTCCCCTCGCTGGCCTAAATTCGGCCTTCCTGGCCTTACGAACCGGGTTCTTTGGGGGGGCAGCGACTAGCAGGTGCAGACGGGTCCAAGCTCACAATTTTCAAGTGCCAACTTTGCCGATTTTACGCGCTTAGAAGAATTAACGAAAGAATCCGAGAAATTGAGACCTTGTAAATTCAATTGTCATATTTCACCGAAAAATAGCAGGAGAAAAACAAACAAACAATTGGACCATGAAATAAATGCCGCGCCGATTCCTCACATTTTCCATTTTTGCCATTCTACCACGTGAGGGCCAACGGGAAAAGTACCCCAACTTACACAATTTTTTGCGCTCAAAACAATGACTCATAAACTCTGAAATATGCAGGGCCTCTGGATTTGGTCGTGATCTTGCCAGTAAAAATATTTTTTTAAAATAAAAAATTTAGACCGTGAAATAAATGTCGTGCCAATTCACCTCATTTTCCGTTTTTGCCGCTCTACCACATGTCGGCCAACGGGAAAAGTACCTCAACTTCAGCGGTTTTTCACGATTAAAAGAATGTGTGGAGAAATCTGAAAATTGGTGGGTCCGTAGATTTGGTCGCGATCTTTCCAGGAAAAGTATTTAAAAAAATAGAAAAAAACATTCAGGTCGCAGCGGCATATGGATGCATTTTCCGTTTTTGTCACTCCCCTGGTTCTCCCCACTCTGCTACTGGTAGCCCTCTTGAACCTGTGCTACCGGTCCCCCCGAATTTAGGCCGGTGGGAAGAGTGGTGGTGCGCCAAAGCCCATTTTTGACAGGGTGCCACCTTGTCATATGCTTTTTCCATGTCAAGTAAGAGCACCCCTACCTTTCTTTCCTCTCCCCCTATTACTTCTAGGGCTCGCACTGTTGTCATTATATTGTCGAAAATGGTTCTTCCTTTCACGAAGGCTCCTTGTTCATATAGCCCACCAAGCTTGGAAGGAGGTCCGCAAGGCGTATGGCCAGAGTCTTTGCTAGAATTTTATAAATTACATTCAAAACAGAATCAGGAGGGAGATCACACCGTTAGCGATCTTTTGCCGTTCTCCGTCGGGGCGTCCGCCCCGCCTCTTTCCGTGTGTAGGCGTTGCTTTTGTCTTCACACCCCTACAGCATTTCCGCCGAGAAGCGAGCCGTCGGCACCCGGCCTTACCTGCCGCATCTCCCTGTTCTCTCGCTGTCTCTCCTCTCCCGCCACGTCATCTCCTTTCCCCCTTTCCATTCGTCCTGCCGGTTCGAACTGTTCCGCGCCTTTGGGTTTCGCTTTTTCCTCGCCCTTTCGCCTATTTCCCGCCCTCTCTTTCCCACACCCCTAATACCTCTTCCGCGCGACATCCCTTGCGAAATCCTTTTCTCTTTTTCTCTTTTCTTAATTCGAAACGTACGCGTCTCATCACCCTTTTCGTCATCTGTGCAAACAGAGAGAGAGAGAGAGAGAGAGAGAGAGAGAGAGAGAGAGAGAGGGGAAACTAGGCGGCTGCTGACAAGGGGATGAGACACGTGGTAAGCGATGTAACTCTGCTCCTGTCGTTCCGAGGCTACGGAGGCTATGACTCCCGTGAGTCGATGGTGTGTTGTATTAGTTGTGGATGTGGAAGCCGGGTTGGGGTACGTTGACACCGGAGGTTGTTGTAATAACTCTGCTAACGATTCGATTCGAGGTTATAGTTTTTTTGGCGAGAAGTCCGATGAGTCGTGAATTAGGGGAGGACGCTAACGATTCAAGCTTATCGTTTCGTTAGTGACAAGGTTGATGGAGGTAGGATATTGGAGGTCGTCATGTGGGATATTGGAGGTTTGATTGTCGAACCCGCCACAGAGGGGCGAGCCGATTGATCTCTCTTTCTCTCTGTCTCTCTGTCTTCTCTCTCTCTCTCTGTCTCTCTATCCTCTTGTCGTCGAGCAGTGGTCTCCCAATTCTCACGCAGCTGCGAGGGTGTTCTCAGCCCTGCCACTCGTAGGTAAACGTTCCGAGAAAAGGACCGTCTTGTATGATTGCGTGTTAATGAAGTTAATTAATGAATTCATTTGTACCCACGGGACAAGAAACTGGTTCACTCGAATAAAACATGGAAGGAGAGTTCTTGTGGGCTGGGTAAGCTGTGAGAAGTAAAAAACCATTCAATAAACTGATAAGAAATAAGATAAGAATCCGTAAAACTTCCAAAAGCGGAGTGTGTGTCCGTTAAGTAACTGTGGCAGCGAACTAAGGAGCGAACAGCTGTACGAGTGTGTGTGTGCTGTCTCTTATACACATCTAGATGTGTATAAGAGACAGGAGAGAGAGAGAGAGAGAGAGAGAGAGAGAGAGAGAGAGAGAGAACGGGGGGAGGAGGAGGGAATGCGAAGGCAGTGAGAGTGAGCCATGGAGGGTGGAAGGAGGGATGGACAAGAGAGACAGCAGCTGGGGCACCAATAGGATGAGGAGGAAGGGGGGAAAGGCAGAAGGGTAGGGAAGGAAGCGAGTGGGGGAGGACACAATTGGGGGAAAAGAAGCCGACAAGGCGGGGGAGGGACATAACCTGAGGAATGCGAGGCGGAGAGAGCGAGGAGGAGCGCACTAGAGAGTGGAGAAAAGCTAGAGGGAGGATGTGGGGAATATTGAGATAGAAGGCAATAGATGAAGATGGATCAAGTGCCCGTGACAAGGCCGAAAGCGGCATCTAGGCATCATGTACCGAGGGAAAGGGGGAGAGGGGGGGTGTAATTAAAGGGCTTGTCAGAGGACGGAAATAAGATGTGCAGTCGGAGAGATGGGGGGGGGGCGGGGGAAGTAAAGGGCTTGTGAGAGGAAGGAAATGAGATGTGCAGTCGGAGTAAGGAAGAAGGAAGGAGAGCGGAACGAAAGGGTGAGGGTAATGAAGGGGGAAGTGCAAGGAATGATGAAAGTCGTAAACCGCGAGTCTGGAGGGACAGGGGGATTGAGTATTGTCACCATTCGCGGAGGTCGACAGAGGTGGGCGGACAATTCGAATGATATGCAGGAGAGAGAGAGTGGAGCTCGCCATCAACGACTATGCAACGGATGTAAGGAGAGAGGGTGGAGATCGAATGTGGATAGAAGATGTTGAGGAGCGGAAATCCATTGGGCCTGTGATGTATTATAGCTTGAGGCGCGCATTTATGCTATTTCTTTGCGTGTTTTACGACGGGATGTTCAATGTTGCATGCAATATTATTATTATTATTATTTTTTTTTTTTCGAAGCATGCAATATTATTGTTTCACGGGTTGTATGACTTGTCTGACGAACTTTCACTGTGTCCATTTTTCTTATCCATGTGCAGAGAGTGAAAATGAAGCTACGGAATATGTGCCAAGGTTCCATAGCTGATGCTGAAGGACGTTGGGTAAGCTATATAACCTCTACAGTCTTACTCCCCTTACCCCCGACACCTCTCTCTACCCCCTTATCCACATGTGCAGATAAGGAAAAATGAAGCTAGGTAATACTGTACGAGGTTCTTCCATTCCCCCTTACCTCTCTCTACTCTCTTGTAATCTATTTTGGCATCTTCTGATGTCCTTGGGGCAACACACATTCCTCTCTTTTCAGTTAGCAATTGCTCTCTTTTTCTTGTGTGTAGCAAACTCTTTTTTTTTTTTTTTTTTTTTTTTTTTGAATCACACGTTCCCCCTGCAGTGCTAGTGGTGCTGACAGAATCAGACACCACTAGCACCCGGGGAGAGGCTCCGTCTATTGGTGGGGAGCATCACCTGCTGGAAAACGGGTGTGTAGCAAACTCTCTTCTTCTTCTATGTCGGAATCTGTTTTGTCCAGCTATGAATTTCTCTCTTCGTTCGCTCAGTCTGCGCGTCCCCGTGCTTGCTCTGTGGGGCGTCTCATGTGCTCTCTCTCTCTCTCTCCTGGTGTCCGAATAACGGCTAGGGTCGTCGCATCGTCTCTGATCCGTTCTTCATGCCTTGAAGGATGTCTAATTTATTAATCAAGTAAGTAATCTTGTTGTGGAGGGAAAGGAAGTGATGTTGGGGTTCTTAAGATGCAATCAAAGCCATAAGTGGTTTTTGCCGCCGCCGCCGCCGCAGCGTTCAAGTAGATTTCCCGCCATTTTCTTTCCATTGTTTCCCTCCATAGAGATGCCATAATCAACAAGTAGATCGAAGTAAATTGATATGTTCTTTCCTGCTGTTTTCTCTCTATTGTTTATTGCCATTTTTTTATCTTTTCGTCTCTAAGTGCCCCCCACCCTGAAGGAAGATATACCCCCGCGTTCTGGCATAACGCTCCCTCCTCACAACCGCCTATGTCTGCCCTATTTTTTACCCTTCCCGTATCATCTCTGCGCCTCTTTTTCCTCGCCCACCCTCTGTCGCGAGGGCGACGAAAGAGAGGCGCAGAGATGATTATGGATATCCTGTCGCCGACTATGCTCGCCTTTCATATCATTGTCCCTGTCAGAGAGGTGGAGGTAAGTGTTGTTGTGGAGCAGAGAGAGAAAGTAATCCTGACAGAAGGCGAAGGTGCCGAGTAAGCAAGGCACATCTGTCGAATTCACTAAAGAAGGTAATGGATGTGAGAGAGAGAGAGAGAGAGAGAGAGAGAGAGAGAGAGAGAGGTGGTGGGTGAGGGAATGTAAGCTGGTTGACGTTTGCCGTGGTGGTTACCTGTGAACAGAGAGTGAAGGTGTGTCAGTTGAACGAGCAAGGAAAATGGGACGATAGGGGTACTGGACACGTGTCAGTTGATTACATTGAGGTAAGTCCGCTCCCCGATTCCCAGGTGAGGCGGTTCTTTGATCCCCCCCCCCTAATCAAGCATTTCCAGCTGTATCGTGAAATCTGGCGTTATGTATTTTACCCGCTGCTTGCTCTTATCGTCGATTTCTTTTTGTCCTTTCCAGCTGTTTATTTACTCCCCACTGCCCGCCGCTCCGTGTGTTTGGTGGTGCCAGCCGGGGCAGTTCTCCTAGGCGATTGGGTTGTGATTATAACTGCAGAGGGCGCTTGGCCTGCTCTACACGTCTGGGCTGCGTGCCAGGTCATCATCAATCATGCCGCCTATTATGTTGACTAGCTGCATGTTTGTAGTATGTCATGCTTGTGCTGTAACATACGAGTACTGTCTGCGTGAATGCGCACCTATGGCGGGAAGAGGGGGGGGGGGGGGGGGAGAGAGAGAGAGAGAGGGAGGGAGAGAGAGAGAGAGAGAGAGAGAGAGAGAGAGAGAGGTTGGGAGGGGGGGGGAATTGACGAGCTGACGAGAATTATAGCTCGAGTGAGATTCGCATTTATCAATTGTTGGGTGTTTTTTTTTTTTTGGTGTGTGTGTGTTGGTGAGTGTATCTGTGCGTGTGTGTGTGTGTGTGTGTGTGTGTGTGTGTGTGTGTTGTGTGCGTGTGCGTGTGTGCAGCAAGCGGAGGCTGTGGGGCTGGTCGTGATCGATGAGAAAGATAATAGCCATTTGCTTCTGCACCGAATATCTCCTGAGGATATCTACCATAGACAAGAAGGTGAAGTTCTTTTCTCGAAGTTTCGCCTTGTGCTTTTTGCTTGTATATACATAGAAGTTGCAGTAATCCCGAAGATAACATCGGGATAAAAGTAACTGAGAGAAGTGAATGCTAAGGAAGTAGAGAACACAAGAAGCGGCCTGCCCAGTGGCCGAATGAGGTAAATGCAGCAGGGCCCACTAGTACCTTTGACGGTTCGAAAATACTCGGCCTCCGACCTTTCAGGAGGCCGAAACGAAACGATGGCCGCCGATCAGATTTATCAACGGCAGGCTCAGCCTCCTCAAAGTTCGGGTGCTGGCCACGACTTGTCGAAAATAGGCTCGGAGGTACTGGGCGGAAAGAAATTAAAGCCAGTGTGGTGTGCGTTTTTGTGGGGGTGGTGTCATTTTCGCTATGCTGTGTAGAATTCCAACCTGACGGTTGCCTGGAAGCCTTTTCCACTGACTGATTTTTCCCAATCTTCTACAGTTTGGTCTGTGATTCCAAGCGGAGTTTTGTCTGGTTTCTGTTGGACTTTTGCGAGCTCATCAGGAGGTTGAACCCTCTGTGTGTGTGTGGCCTGTCAAGTTTTGTTTGGTATGGTTCTGACAAGGAGAAGAAATGGTTGAGTTTTCACAAAAAAATTGTAATTTTTCAGTTCCATTTGTCCAATTTTAAAAATTTGAAAAAAAACAGTCTTTCATGGCTTTGTAAGATTGTATTTGTTTTTAGGCTGAATGGCGAACTATTTTGATGTCAAGGGCTGTCAGGCGCAGTACGTTAGGGGCTATCCTCACCAATGACTCTCTTTTACATGGATTGTGCAGGTATAGGCCGTCGGCTGCCTGTCTTACGGACTTCCCTCAAATACAGCGCACCTGATCATGAATGTACAGGATCTAGGTTTCCGCTCCGATACTGTCATGAGGAGGGTGCACTGTGTTCAGGGGGAAGAGGGTAGGCATCGTGAAATACGGGCGGCACGTTTCCAGTCAGATAGGGCTGTCATAATGCCTGATTGTCCCCTTAGGTGGAACAAGGTTGCGTTGTTCTATAGGGTATTTGTGGGGACGACTGCAGAACAACATGGGGCCAGCTTTGAAGGTTGAATGCGCTGCGGACTGAATGGAGATCGTAGAGATCGAGCCATGTTTCCTGTTAACAAGTGATGAGTATAGGGAAATGGAACGCTGTCGTCTGAATGGTTAGCAATAGTTTTTGCTGGGCCCGGAGAGTTGGTGCCAACTTTCCACAAAGAAAAACGAACAGAGGAGTTAGGACTACCATAGTCGCCCAAACAATGCTCCATCATTGTGACTGTATCGAGCCAGAAAGATAGCTTGTATGCACTCGTGATTGAGGTACGCTTGTCTTGGGGGCGAGGACTGTTGGGACTCAGAGATGCAGCTGAACAGAGTTTGCGAGTGAACGTGCGAGGGAGGTTCGGAAATGGTTTAGCCAGGACAAAATCTACCTAGGATTTGCAAAACCACACACACACACACACACACACACACACACACACACACACACACACACACACACACACACACA